TGCTTTTGCTGAGCTACTGGGACCTGTCTTTCCCCCCTACAAACTGTCTCGTTGCTTTCCTAGTGCAACTGGTATTACCAATGTCAGCAAGAGATGTCTGATTATATTAACTGAAGTCATTAGAAACTTTCTGTCTGTATGTGTCTGGAATTTTTCTGTCTATTTAATAATCACAGAAGAATAACATGTTTAAGGCATGGATAGTTTGTCTTTTAAGAAGGAAGTTTACATGCTTCAGGTTTTATAATTTATGCCTTTCTATTTCCTATGTATATTTTTTTAAAATCGTAAGAAAGATTAGCAGTTCCCTCGGACTCCCTTAGACAGTAGTTAATCACTTCTGTGCAGCTTCTTTCAACCATTCAGTATTTCTCTTTTCTTCCTACTAAGAGGCACAGCAGAAATCTATTTATTTGGAACAGTATTTTAAAATAACTGATTTCCTTTAATTATACACTGTACACAATCATATTCCTTTAATATAGGATGAGGGATGAATGATGAGGAAATAATGAGAATGACTTACTAAAATAGAACATTCAGCAATGAATTTTGTATTTACAGAGTTGATGATAGGAGCAATATGCTAACCACAAAAAAGTCTGAGGCTCTACCAAGGTATAATTATTAGTTTTGCCTTTTTTGTTGTCTTGACTGTGACTGACAAATACGATGCCTTTAGCATCATATGCTCTAGCCTGTATTAGAGCTGTCTAAATAAACTCTTGAGAAAACTTCATCTTGAGGTGACATGACTGACATATGACAAATGGGTTGTCTGAATGAGCTAAGGTGGGAGTCAAAAGAATGACACTATGAGAAATCTTTCGGCTGGACAAAGATTTTTTGAACACCTTTTACATGTCGTGCTTTTATGGACCAACAGGACTTCTCCACAAACTCCTGTTCCAATAGAGAATGCTTCACAGTGCATCTCCTCAGTCAGTGGTCTGTCCCTGCAAGGGCTGGAATTGTGAAACTGTGAACTGGAAGACATTAACAAAAGCATAGTAGTTGTGTTAAAGTGGTTCAAAAATATTCCATGCTATGACTGGACAACTGTAACTGACAAACTGAGTGAGAAATACGGATGTGGCACTAATTTTAGAATGACAAACTTCTCACTTGATATCTGACTTTTGTAGAAACTTAAGTTCAATGAAAAATCTAAATTTTCGGGCAGAGAGAACTTTTCTACTTAGTCTAGCTATTATGCTTGTCTAGCCATGTTTCAGAACATTCAGCTCTTAATTAAAAAGAATAATAACTTTTTGAGTTTTCACTAGTCAAATTATAATCAATTGGAGTACATTCTTTATATACAACTATATGAGAGCTTTTGTAGTTATAATACATTTTTTTTTCTGCTATGGCCTTGATGATGATAAGTTTGCAATAAATCTTAGACTTGCAGCTGATGCAGGCACTAATGTATTTTACTGTTAAGGCATGAAAGATAGAAAAATTCTCCTTGGAGAAACTTGAATTTTATTCAGCCTATGCATTTCCACTATAAGACAGAAAAAAAATGCAATATAGACTACTATTGAAGTCCTGTTTTAAACTACTAGGAATACATGATAGACTGAAAGAAGTATCAGATATATTTTTCTTCATGTGCTGATTGAAAAGCAAACCAGACCTTCCAGATTTTCTTCCATTTGACTTTAATGCTGAATTTTCCTATTGAAATGGGACAGCCCAATTCAGTTTTACAAAATAGAAAAGAAGCCAAGATATAAATATATCTTGAATAACTCAGAACCAACTTATTGAAAAACTTCCACTCTTGAATCTTATTGGAAGAACTCTGTCATATGGAATATAGATTTGATGAAAAAAGGTTCATGAGAGCAACAAATCTGTTTGTCATCTGCATAGCAATGCTTAGTCATTTGAGTAGTATAATCAGGGAGTACAATGATATAGACACAGAACAATGCAGGGCCAAGAATAAAGTCCTGTGGGACATCAGCTGTAAGTGAAAAAGGGCTTGATTAAGGATGGCCGTATTAAATAACAAGTGAATGGTCAGACAAAAATAACATTAGCCAGCACAACATGTTAGCTTTATGAATAAGCAATGGTGATTGTGAGTATTCAAAATAGAAGACTGACAGCATTTCATTAGAGCAAATACTAAATTGTATTTGCGAATACATGTACCTTGATCATTTCAGGTGACTAACCAAATGACGCCATTTAGTGGATGTCTCCAGTAGACAGTTATAAATTCACTCTGGCAATGAGAAAAACAAGTTCTAACTTTTGGTAATGTTTGCAATACAGTAAGCACTCTGGGAATAAGTTACTTGAACAGATCTTCTCCAGTCATCATAATGATAATGACAAAAAGGACATGCAAAAGGACAACTGGAACTACTGCAGGTGAAGTCTTGAAAAGTGAGGAAAGGAGCCTTACCAGAGGAGTAGCTGGTATAGGTTTCTATTTTGGTGGCTCAATAGAAAACTAGGTTTATCCCTTGAGATATGATATGAGATAGCTGATTTAAAATTTATTTTAAATTTCTTTGATTAATTTTATTAGTAGGAAAATATAGGAAGGTGTGGGAAACATGGTTCTAGTAATCTCAAGCTAAATATTCAGCAGTCTTTTGTTCTGAACATTTTGTTTACCATGCAACAGGAATCACCTGGTCCTATTTTCCCTACTTTATTTACTTTGCAGTAGTCTTTGTTAAAATTACCTCAATTTCCTATCATGGGGTGATTTTTAAGGTTTTTAAAGATTTTTAAAACTCTGATTCCTCAACATCTGTTATCACTTCGTGAACAGCACAACTTTCCAAGATTTTTTTTTTTCAAATATACAAAGGTCATATTCTTCATCTGGTCTTTTCTCTCAAATTATCTGACTGATTTTATTTGCAATCTGTGTAGTCATATGAGCCTGAGCTGGAAACAACCAATTAGACCAGACTGTCCCTCCTCTTGCCAATGTGGAATATATTCCCCCAGACAGAGGACACAAGCTTGATTTTAGCTAAAGCTGAGAAGAAGCCTCCTGATCTTCACCCACTGAAATTTAAACTCTCATCTGTTATTAATACATTTTCAGCAAATGATTACCAGAACATCTGCTCATGCTCAGTAAATTTTTACTTCCTTCTCTTAAAGCTGACTTCCCCAGTGAACTGATGAGAGTGACATTCTGCAGCCCATTCAGCTCTTTAAAATACCATTGGTCAGCTGAAGAAATGGTAGCTGAAAGTGATGTAGTGATCTTTGTAGTTCATATTGCAGCTATACAGGAAATAAGAGCAAAACGATTGCAATAAGAATAGTAGGATTTCCAACCAACTCTTTTTTTGTTAAATCAGGAAGCAAATGCATTTTTGGTGTTTACATGAAGTTGTAAGCACTCATACACTTTGAAAAGATTAAATACTGGTTCTAAAATGCTGATACCGATGTGACATGATACAGCTTTATTTGGAAAATGATATAAATTGTATGCAAAATCATTAAAAAAAATCATTGTGGCTGACAGGAGAGGTTTTTTATGAGGTAAAAGTGCTACAATAGTCTTCTAGATTCAGACATGTGTTTAGACTGTGAATCATATTTCTGTTTAAAACTTTTCTTAACTCAAAGTTTTTGAGAAATAGAACTTTCTTGGAGTCCATTTCCAACAGAAGATGCTAGGTTTCCATGGGTATGGCCTGTGTTCCCAGCTTTGTAGAGTTATGCTGCTTGTTGATTATAGTGACATTAAGCTATGTCCATTAACATTCTTTCTCTAGACATATGCAACTGTTTGTACATACAACAGGCAGCTACTCACAGGTGGGGCACCGGAGTTCTGCATGTAGGCCCAACTTGTTACCGTGCTATGTTTGTCATCAAGTTGGACAACCTGCTTCAGTTTTCTTGTCTCACTTCTAAATTTCAGGATATACGATGGAGTGCAAATAGAGGTTCATGCTCCCCTGAAGGGAGGGGACTGTCCTGATCCTTACACACACATAGGTGGGAAAATGCAAAGTGACAGTATGCCCTAGCACCAAACCCCTGAAATGCACACAGCTATACAAAGATCATTAATCAAGCCTTTAAAGTCTCCCCCTGTACATTCCCATGTCCTTCCCAAAATATGTCCTCATATCCACTTTCTAATCTCCCTCCCAACTTTTATTCCTTTCATTTCTACAATAAGCATTCATTTGTGTGATTTCCTGATATAACTTATTTATGTGCATTGAGGAAAATTCTGTGTCAACATGCCTACATTTCATTTTCATGCTTTTTCCAGGGGTATTCCTTTCTGATCTTAGAGTGCCTTTGTGTAGCTCAGATGTGCTACCATGACAGTGCCCTCTCAACATCCCAGATAGCAGCAAACTGGCCATGCAGAGGCCCTGTTGTGTAGTCTTCTGCCTCTGCACAGCATCACCAGTTATTTACATAAACATTAGGTTCATATCTCTCTTCAGAAGTTGAATTTGAAAGTTTTGTCTAGGGTTGGTACTCCAGCTGCAGATATTTAGGTCAGTAAGTATTGGGCCTGGTCCCCTGTAAGCAACTACTAGTCTGATGAAGTGTCCAGGAGATAGCTGGGCGAAATTGAAAATGGGAACCTAAAGCAAAGCCCATCAAGAGCACAAGAAATATTTTTCTTTGTTTGTTCAGGTGGGCACAAAAGCTCACTAAGGAAGTAATATGACTTACAAAATATCTGAGTGTGAAAGCTGTGGCTTGGGGGTTTCTGGTTCACATGATTCCAAAGTCTGGAACTGTAACCTTCTGTCTTCATAGTGCACACAAATGTACACTATAGGCAGTATATTAATGGATTTTAGAGCCCTAGAAGATTCAGCTTTTGAAGAAGTCACTCTTAAGCCCAGTTGTAACACAAGTTGGTTATTCACTGTGATTGCCTACTGTTGCATGATTTAGTTGGAGTTGACATCTTGAAACCTTATTACTATATTGTGTTCAATAATATTGAAATATCTTGTTTTCATTATTTTATGTTTCAGAATAAGACCCAAGGGCTGAGTTTTGTCCGTATCCATGCACCTTGGCAAGTACTTAGTCGAGAAGCGGAACTCCTTAAAATAAAAATGCCCACTAAAAAGGTACGTGTCTTCCATCTTCTATCAAGTAGATGTATTACTGGGGAACGGTGGATCAAAATGGTAGTTGAATGTATAGAAGCCCATAGATTTACTTTATTTCAAAATCAGATCAAATGAACTGCCAGGCTTATCCTTTCACATTACTAATTCTTTTGAGATGATTTAGTATTCAGAGTCAGATTTAAGATGGGATTTTCAAAGGGGATTTCAAAGGCCACAGAGGCAGCTGGCTGACAGACTCTGTTCAGAAGAGTGATGAAAGTGGTGAGCTTTAAGGAGGGCTTTGAAAGCTGAGAAGGCAGTAGCTATTTTGATTTTTGTCAAGGAACTTTCCTCAAAGGTGAGGTGCAGTATGTGAGATAGTGTAATAGCTGGTTATTGCCTTAAAATGTCTCTAAAATCTGAGGACGCCGAGAGAGTCTGTTTTGGTGGTATCAATGACTTAGTGAATTCAGACTTGCCCCGGCATTAAAGCTTTGGCTCACTACCTTCTTTACAGTTGTAGTAGCTGAGAATATCTAGACCTTTCAGCAGAGTTGTTGTCAAACATTGTAAATTCTGAGGAGCAGATCCCAAAGTTTCTTGTCCTGCAATGATTTAGCATGTTGACTAACAACTCCACCGAAGTCAGTGGAACTGCCTTGTGCTTTCAGTTAGTGATACTCATCAGTTGCACTACTGAAAGCTTATTTTATTGCCTTGTCATTAGAATTAAATTACAGACTGATTTTATTTTCTTCTACAGGGTTTCTGTTGGTTTTGGTTTTGCTTGTTTGGGGTTTTTTGGGTTGGTTTGTTTGTTTTTTTCCATATTGTTTGTTTTCACCCAGCAAAAGCTTCAGTGTTGTTCACATCTTGTGGTGTCACCATGTGTCACTCTCAGGGGCATCACCAAGCCAACCTTGTATGTATACTCTTACTGTATTGTGTTTGCAACCTAGAACAAAAAAAAATAAAGTAAGTCTGGTTACTTGTAGTCAATCTTTGAAAATGAGTAGGTTTTGGAAAGCTACAGTACCTCTATCCTTTCTGACATATTGATGGATATGTGGACCCTTTCTGGAAATGAACTTACATATTCAACTCCTCTTTTTGATCCCTTCCCAGATTTGTTCCTTTTGTGCATTTTTAATGCCTGCTCATTTCTCCTTCCTTCTTCCCTCATGGGAACTTTTGCTATTTGTGAATAGACAAAGACTCATGGGAGATGTGATTGTAGGTGGCTGTCTTGGCCACAGTGATCACAAAATGATTGAGTATAAAATTTTCCATGTGATGAGAAGAAAGGTCAGCAGAGTTGTTACTCTAGATTTCAAGACAGCAAACTGTAAGCTACTCAGGGAGCTACTTAGGAGTTTTCCCTGGGAATCTGCTTTTGAGGGCTTAGGGGTCCATGAGTGCTGGTCAGTTTTTAAGAACCACAGGAGCAGGCAATTCCAGTGTGTCATAAGTCAAGCAAGCTTGGCTGAAGACCAGCTTGACTGAACAGGGAACTCCTCATGGAACTCAAGAAGAAAAAGAAATTGTACCATCTCTAGAAGCAAGGTCAGGCTTTGCAGGAAGATTACAGAGCTGTGGTTTGCATTTTCAGAGAAAAAAACAGGAAAGGCCAAAGCTCAGCTAGAGTTGAAACTGGCCAATGTTGTGTCAGACAACAAAAAGGCTTTTTAAAGTATGTTAATAGCAAGAGGAGGTCTAAAGAAAATATTGGACCCATAGTTGCTGAAGATGGTCAGCTGGGATGAAGAAAAAGTGGAGGCCTTCAATGCTTTTTTTTGCTTCAGTCTTTAATATTAATGATAGACCTTGGGCTGCCTGGTCCTCTGAGTTGGAGGACCACAACTGCGGGAAGAGTGACCTTCCATTGTGGACACTGAATTTGTAAGGGACTATACGTATCAGCTGAATGTTGATAAATTCATGGGGCCTTATGGGATTCATCCCACAGTACTGAAGGAGCTAGCAGATGTTACAGCAGAACTCCTTTCAATCATCTACCAAAGGTCTTGGGAGTCTGGGGAGGTCCTTGCTGACTGGAAGCTAGCTAGCATCACTACAATTTACACGAAGGGTGTAAGGGAAGACCCAGGAAACTACAGACCTGTTAGTCGGACCTTGGCACCTGGAAAAATTACGGAGAAGATCATACAGGTGCTATTGAAAGTCATTTAAAGGACAATGAAATCATCAGGCACAGACAACATGGTTTCATGAAGGGAAAGTCCTCTCTAACTAATTTTATATCCTTCTATGATAAGGTTACCTGCCTAGTGGATAGTGGGAAAGTGGTGGATGTAATTTTTTTCTGTATTTCAGTGAAGTTTTTGATAGTGTCCCTCAGAATATCCTTCTGGACAAGTTGTCTAACTGTGAGATAGGCAGGTACATGGTGTGCTGGGTGAAGAACTGGTTGAACAGCAGGGCTCAAAGGGTTGTAGTGAATAGGTCTAAGTCACCAGCAGTGTTCCTCAGGGCTCAATTCTATGGCCAGCTCTGTTCACTATTTATCAATGATCTGGATGCAGGAGTTGAATGCACCATTAGCAAGTTTGCTGATGATAGTAGACTGGGAGGTGCTGTTGACTCTCTTATGGGACAAGAGGCCTTGCAGAGGTATCTAGATAGATTGGAACATTGGGGAATAACAAACCGTGTGAAATTCAACAAGAAAAAATGCCGGATTCTGCACCTGCGACAGAGTAACACCGGACACAATTATAAATTGGGAGAGAAGTGGCTGGAGAGCAGTGCTGCAGAAAGGGACCTGGGGGTGCTGGTTGACAGCAGGCTCAATAGGAGTCGGCAGTGTGCCCTGGAAGCCAAGAGGGCAAACCGCATCCTGGGGTGCATCAGACACAGCTTAACTAGCTGGTCAAAAGAGGTGATTATCCCATTGTATACATCATTGTGAGGCCTCACTTTGAGTACTGTATGCAGTTCTGCACCCCACAATTTAAGAAGGGTGTTCGGATTCTTGAATGCATCCAGAGGAGGGCAGCAAAGCTGCTGAAAAGGTTGGAAGAAACGTCCTGTGAGGAGGACATAAATTAATGAGCCATGAGCCTGGCATCCTTGCTTCTAGTGGCGTATGTACATGTGCTGTCAGACCATACTAGCAATTATTACCCAGGAATAATTTATTCTCCTGGGGCAGTATAATTGGCAGCAGGTAAAGGCCCTTCCTGCTTTGTTTGCTACCTCTATTCCCAGTTACAAAGTCAAAATAATTACTCTGCCTTTCTGTCATCTCCGTGCACCTCCTAGTTTAATTAGTAAGGATGCTTCTTGTATTAAAATTCTGCACTGAGTTTTCTTCTGAAAGTAGTTTGTGAAGGACAAAAATTTCTTTTTGGAACCAAAACCCTTATGAATTCAAGTTCTTTCTGTTATATGGGAATATATCTTCAGAGAGGGCAGTTATTTTAATTACAGATTTAAACGTATGTGTATTGCAAATTCTATCTTTTTTTTTTTGTTTTAGTGGCTCTTTGGAAGTGACATGCTAATGTACAATATTTTATTTACTCAGATGTATGAAATCACAGAAGAAGGAGGAATACTCAAAACATTAAATGAAATATGGTGCAAATTGACTGAACCTCTGCAACCACAGGTGCCACAACAAGAAAATAACAACATGAAAAGCCTGTCTTATCCATTTTCCAGAGAGAAAATATATTTGTGAGTACTTTAAATTGTGATGAGCAGTGAAGAAAGCTATAATTTATCATTTTAGTGTTGTCATTTTTTCTACCAGTATTTCAATCAAAAGTCAGAAATTAATTGAGTATTTCTGGAAATCCCGAGGAAATATCCAAGTTGTCATTATTCCTGTACAATATTTCCAAGTGATAAAAGCATATGTCTGCATAAAACTAAATTTATCGAAGGCCAAGTAAATGAACAGGGATTGGCACTGAGTTCAGTTTCAGTGGATTAACAGAAATCTAAGTTGCAGAGACTTTCTGCCAGTGTTGTTCTTCCTTCTGCTGGATAAGGCACTGGAAGCAGTGCAACAAATAAAATATCTATGTTTTTAGCTTGAACTGTAAAAATCCTCGCACCAAATTCCCAATTATTTGGTTCAGGATATTACTGCCTGTTTCGAAAAAAAAGAGGTAGTAGAAATCCAACAATATTTTTCCTCTTGATAGATTTATTATACTAATTAAAACTTGGCTAATAATATACAGATAAGGAATTCTTGACACCTGCCCTTTCTCTCAGAATAATACTTTGAGCTCAGTTTGACATTAAACACTCCTTTTATCCTCATGGGTGTCTCCTTGTATTTATGCCTGATAAATAAAATTCAGTAATAAATATAATGACCCACCATATCATTTATTGTCCTTTCTGGCAATTTTTATTAATACTGAATACAAGTCAAATTGATTGAGGGGAATAAAATGGGAAGGCTAATTTCACATATGATGGTTTTAAGGTTTAAGGCAATGCATGATTCTTGTGGAATGATTATTTGAAAGCAAGTGAAATGTTGACTGGTTAGTCACCTGAAAAGAGTAATGAACATCTGCATTAGGGTAGTTGAAACCTCAGAATGCCAGTGTTGAGGGTATGTTATAAAGAAAATATTAAAAGGCCATCTTGTGTAAACAATAGACAAAGTCTCCTTACCTGCAAGGCATTTTATGTTGGCTAATATTTTTGCATTTTTATGTCCACCATTATTGCAATCCAGGTAGAACTCAGAATGACTGGGTCTTAAATAGCTCAGTCTATTATGCTGTACTATTTAATTTGTATTTATTTCCTTTAAACATCTATTTTTCTTACTTGCTATAGCTTCTAAATGAATTCTAAATCAGAGTCTTATATGTTATCTTATTTGTTACTACCACATCTGAAAACACAAATGATTTTTTTTTATCTCAACATTTTAGGTATAACATTAAAGACAAAGACACCTTTTTTGACAATGCTACCCGCAGCCGAATAGTAAGTAAACAAAAGTGACATATCATTGACTTCTCATGCTGAATGGGATTTGTTTTAATAGTGAGTGTTGATGACTACTTTGCTAATTTCATCAGTTTATGCATTACCCTGTTCCTGCAAAACACAAGTAGTCATAAGTATGTAAAAAACACCCTTCTGGAGCTGCCCAGGAGTAGGAGATGCTAAGAGTTTCTATTAAGCCCTGCTTCCTAATCTTTAACTAGATTTTATTTCATAAAAGGACCTTCTCTACAATCCTGTAGTAACTTCCTAGCTACAGCAGTCTTTGGTGAGAAACTTTGTATCATGTTCCTAATATCCTGCCAGGTCTCCAGCAGGTTGGTGAGGCAAGATTTCTCATTACATATGGAATGCCAACTCCTCCCTAACATGCTATCTTCATCCGTACACACTTGGGTTTCATAGATACAGCATACTTACCAATCACTTTATGTGCATCTTAACATTATATTTCCAAATATGGATGCTAATTTTTTTTTAGTGTAAAATTCTCATTCTACCTGAAGTCCTTGTACTTCGTATGGTACTACAAGGATTTGACACGGCAGAGATTAGCCTACGAATGTTAGGGCAGATAATCCACTAGAAAGAGTTGCCATAGCATTGTTAAGTGTTAACTAGTATCCTCAAGTCATGCATTTATGTATGAGTGAAGCATATGATTTAAATGTATGTGCAAATAGACTCTACAGAAGCCTCTTATTTAAAAGGGTTTTTTTTTATTATTACTAGCTCTATGATGAAAATAATGCTAAAAGACAATTTGTGTGTTATATGACTGCTCTTTTCCACAGGTACGTGAAATTTTGAAGCGCACAACTACAAAGGCCAGAGACAGCATGGGTAAGAAAGAGGGAAGATAATTATATATATTGTTTTGAAAGGAATTGTTTAAGTATCTCACAGAATATTTATTTTTCTAGCAGAACACAAAAGTATGCTGGCGCATTTCCACAAAAAATAGAGGTTGAAACAAATGCTTTTCTGAGGAATAAAATCAGAATTTCAGGTCTATGGTTTGGATAGGACATGGTAATGGGAGCTTGCTTTTCATTTCTACAGGTGCAGGATCTGGCACATATCTTCTATTTCATGAGTTGTTATAAAATTGGATTTGATTATTGTATGATCTGCTTTTGAAAATTCAGATGTCAAATACAATATGTCGTATTATTACTTCCAGGAGCAGATTTTTCTTGCCATTTCAATAGAATAATACATCTTTCCAGGTTATTTTTATTATTGCAGCTTTAAAAATTATGTCCATGAACTGCATAGTGAAATATATGACTTCACTATGACTGTTTTGAAGATACTGTGTGATACTTTTAGGATATCCCTGAAATATTTGAAACTTTTGTTTTCTTGATGTTCAGAACATATACAAAAGTACTTATTCTCTTTTCTGTACTCTTTTCTTTCATCCATTGTGGTATCATGACACATATCTCCCTGGTGGCGAAAAAGTGATAGTGGTCCTTGTCTGGCATGTTTTCTGGAAGTCCTTCTGTAAGCTTGACCACCTATGCGCAGATCACAATGTCCTAGGGTAATGCACTTGCAAAGAATAAGTCTGCTGTAGCAACAGGTTCTGCACAGTCTTGGTGTAACTTTGTGCATTGAAGCTGCAGTAACAGATTTCTTTGGTACCTCAGCTGGAGTGGAACATAGATTGTTAGATTTCCCTGAAATAGATACATTTTTTTTTTCAAATTATATGAAAAAAAACCCCAAACAAAATAATTTCTTTTTCAACCAAAAATACTTGGCTTTGCCCATAGAAAAAGAACAAACCAAAACCAAGCTTCATGATTACTACACTGTTTGCTTTAAAATAATGAAAGGATGGCTAAGAAAATGTCAAGCATTCTTAATTTCTAAAACGTGGTTCAGCTGGTGGCTGATTTGTTCACTGTTTGCTCTGTGTTGTTCTATGTTCTAATCTGCTTAAAGGCTCTGGTGGGGCAGTAGAGAGGAATACTACCTTATTTTGCTGAATTGCTCCAGCTGGCATCCAGGGAACCCTCCTGGTGACTGAGGAGACCATGCTTTTCCTGGAAGCTGTGCAGCCTGTGCAAGTAGATGTCTCTAGAGTGCAGGATTTTAGAGACAAGTCATTGTGAGGTGTATAAAACAAGAAGCCTGAAGAGCAGCAGGCACACTAAGCCCGTTGACAAAAAGCCAGCCCCCAGAGCTGACACTTTCCCAAGGGAACCAGAGAGACTGTGTAGAATCTGTTGTAACTCTGAAGACTGTAAGTTGTTGGGCTGAGAGAAAGCTTGAAAGAAGCAATCCGTCCTACAAGGACACAGTAGGAAAGGAAAGAGCACTTTACCAATAGGGGTTTTTTTGCCTCTTGAAGTTTTCTCTGTTTTAATAGCTTGTTCGTGTTTATAGTGTAGTAAAAGACATCATTAGAGACCAAAGCACCAGAAGTGATTTTTCAGGCTTTTTTTTTTTTTAACTCTAAGGTGGAAATACAGGCCGATCCACTTCAGGTTCTGGTCAGCTCAAGAACCAGTTTGACATAAAGCAAATATTTTAACCCTCCTGTTGTTCCCATCTTTCTGGCCTTACATTGCATGATTACATGCATTACATGATTATGCATCATGTTTGACTTAAATTCAGTAATCATTTTGGTCTTCTGAGATCCTCCCCGAAAAGTCCTATGCTTCATATGTCGCTAAGTTTTTCCCTTCTCACTGGTCTTAAAATTTAAAACCACTCATCATGAGTGGTTTAAAAGATTTCTTTAAGCATCCTTGTTTTATTCTGTTGAGCTTTTTTGTTTTGGTTTGGTTTTTTAAGATTTCATTGCTTATTTTTCACAAGAGATAAGAGTGATGTTGGAAGTACTTATAGCAGTCTTTGGGTTTTGTATCTTTTTGTAATGTCATAGGAGGAAAATAACAACAATTCCAACACATTTGCTTCTTGATTTTTACATGGTTTTACAGTTGAATCTGATTCCACCTCTACAATGTTATAAAAGGATGGCATATTTTCTTCTAGCATAATTCTGAACAGTTGTAAACTTTCCAAACAATAGAGGACTTGACATGACCCAAACATGAAGATTTTCCGATTCTATTAATGCATGTAGTAGTAAGGGTATTTTTCTTTGTACCAAAGAAGAAATTCATTGGTAATGTCTATCTAGCATCTTGGATCAGAGGGTTTTTCCCAAACATTTCAGAATGATAGTTGTACAATTTAACTATGCAATTTTTTTTCACCCCTAAAGACAAGCTAGCTGGATACTTTTTACTGCACATTGAAAGCAAGGAGGTCTGGAATAAACTACTAGTCTTAACCAGATTTCCTGTTTGCAACCTTTAGGACTCAGCAGTTTTTGTCCTGGTTCATCCAGGTCTCCAGCATAATCAAGGATTTGGCAAGCACAAACTGATTTAACTCCTGCAAAGAAAGCAGCATTGTTTCAAATTCAGAAGGATGGCCTTACGTATTGATGTAGGGATCCATGATTCTGACCTTTGTCAAGCTTCGAGGACTTCCAGACACTTTCCTCCTCAGTCACATGCCTCTGTTATCAGGATAAGAAAGTGGTCAAAGCAGTCTGTACGATACTAGTTCACTCAAGAAAAAGCACTATATGGAAATGAGCGTTTCTGAGAAAATATGTCTTCCCTATCCAGATATATACTCATCTTGACATGATTTTGAATGTTTTGTGTAGTACAGCTCAGTTCCCTTTGTAATTTCACAAAATGAAATCTGTAATAATCTTTTCTGTTTAACTGTGTCTAGCTGTTAACCATTTTTCTTCTTTTAGGTATTGGCACATTAATAGCAAACAATGTTTATGATGCAGCATACCCACTTCATGATGTACGTATATACTATTAAAAATCTAGTTCTCTGGTGGTATCATTCAACAAAGCATAGACATTGTTTATTGCCTGTGAAAATGAAAATATATTCTAACTGTGTGATTCTAGTATGAAAACTCTTACATTAGTACATTTCAAGTTGTGACCTAAGTAAAGTCAACAATGTAGGAATAGCTAAGCAAACTTTTATTGGATTTTATCTATTTTTACATCAGTTATCAAATTATTTTTCTTTCCTTAGGGTGAATATGAAGGCCAAAATGATGACATGAATGAAAGAAAGGTAAAATACATTGCAAAATTAATTTCATATTAGATTTAATGTGATAAAAGTGAATTAGTGTTCTAAATGTAATCGTAAAGCACTAGCCAGTGTTTAATCAACTAAATGTTTTTACAAATGCATGTATTTTTTGCATTACTTCTTTTCCTCTATTTCTGCATATAAAAAAAAATAATTTCACAAGACTTTTTAGAGTGTCATCTTATGACGTATTTCAGTGAATTTAATTTGATATTTACATGTTGAAATGCTTCAATTTTCCCTCTGCATGCATAGACGAGATTTTTCAACCTGCCAGGAAGCAAAAATTCTTAAATAACTCATATGATTGCTTTCTTTCCATAACCAGATGGTACTATAGAACAATGATTATTAGAATAAAACATAGTTGTATTTTTCATTTGATTATGCACTCAATTCAATTACATGCAATTTCTAAAAATCTGTTTCCAATTGCAAATAAGAAGTTTCTGGCTATCAAATGACTTTTGAAAAAATATCACCCACCAACTGTCTCTGCAAGAGAAATGGATGCATAATCAAAGACTTTGTGAATTCAGACTGTTTTTAATACATATGCTTACTATTAGAAATGAGCAGAAACATTTAATTACTGTAATCCATTAAGATCCATTCCACATTGTTCTCTAATATTTGCTCTTTTTTCTTTCCTTGATATACAAACAATAATACAGGAAATGAAGAAGGAAAATTGTGGGGAGAGAAAGGGGGGAGGGAAGAATGAAGAAAAAGAGAACGTTTGGATGCCTAAAATATTTGCTATACTAGAAATTAAATTGCATGTATTCTTGGTGTCTTGTAAATAATTCCATAAATGTTAACTCTGTGGTATTACATGTTGGTATATACCTTTTGTTGCTTGAAGAAGAGATAAAAAATGCCATTAAATTGGCAAAACTTAACGTAGCTCTCAAGAGTATAATTGTCACAAATATGATTATTTGAGCATTTAAAATGAAGGCTGAGTTCACAGGTCATACAAATAAATTTGATTTCTCTAATGCTGGCTTAGTAAAAATTTGAAAACATAACCTTCTTTGTAGTTTTTGGTAAATAGTGTTAACATTCAGCCACTAGATGTCTTCATGTGCTGTATACAATTTAGTTTATGAACCTCCATAAGCAAAAGGGACAAAGTTGGAAAACAAACTATAAAGAAGCTTGTACATTTGTGTCTGTTGTTTTGAACTTTTTGTTCATGAGGAAATTGTCTACTCTGCACTTGCAGGATTTTCTCTGAGTAAGTGATAATAGTGATACAGTAATGGACTCTGAAAGTCAGCTACATAGGTTAGTAACTTGTAAGGTTAGCAAAACTTCTAGAGAAGAAAGGTAAATGAACATTAGTCAATGGAGGAAGATTGCGTACTGTGGAAAAGGGGGGAAGAAGGCCTAAAAGGACTAGTGTCTGGAAAAATATTCACCCCACTAGTTGAATTTTGTGCTGCCTTCTTTTTATTCTGCCTATTAGGCTCAGTTATGAAGTGTTAAGTATTAAAAACATAAAAGGTTCTTTCCAGAAATACTTCATTGATTATTCACATATGTCTCTCCTGCCTAGCCATTGAATATGCTGTAGTATTTCTATGCATAACATCATCTGTTTTCTATCTGAATCTAATAGTCTCAGTGTTTAATTTCCTGAAAAGCTCTGATCAGGTTTAAAGGAAAGGGGGGCATTTTTCAGTTTTATTTTTCTCTGCCCCTTTTTATTTTGTCCGTTTTAACTTATCTGTATCTTCCATTTCAGTTGATTGTTGTATAAGCCCAAGGAATGGTGAACTGGGCCTGTCTGGGATACTTATGCCAATTAGGCAGCGCAAGTAATTAAGGTTTATGTACCACTTCATAATATAAAAGATTAATCCTTATTAACCCTATTCAGGATTTCCTTGGAAGAAATGCACCGTGAAACAATACTTTTGTCACATCCTATCAGAATTAGAAATCTGCAGTCGATGAAACCCACTCTTTTCCTAAGACTGTTGATTGGAGTAAAGGAATTTCCCTGTTTCAGTGTGATTTCTGCTTTGGAAAAAAATCTTTTTAAGAAAGCTATTGCACAGAAGCGTGGTAATAACTTGCCATGAGTCTAAACACAGACTCATTTTTTTTTAAGCTTCTAGCCCACTGGCAACTTGTAACCCTTCATTGCTATCAATATGTTTGACGTTGAGAAATACATAAGTGCTTTGCTACCTATCTGGGAAATACACTGTTGTCATATACTGCGACAACATCCCTAGAATATTAGAAGCAGATTGGAAAGTATTATTATAAACTGACGGAAAGTACCGCTTTTACCTGAAGCTGATAAAATACAGCAAATTATACTACAAAACTCTTCCTAGAATTCATTTCAATTTAATAAATATCATGAAAGGAAGCACATTCCAGCTTCCAGATTAAGCTTAATCTTGTAAAATTGCAGTGCTGAGACTGAGATTTAGTGTGGGCAACACACACGAATGGAAAATATTCATGCCATAAACTCACCTTCAGTGCTTTGGAATCAGAATAACCAGTGTGATTTTGTAGTCTGAGATAATGCCATAGCAACCTGTTCCTGAACTGACCGCAACTTTAAAAAGATCTTTCTATTTGCTCTTCAAATTCCATTCTGTAGCTGTGTCCAAAGCATCTTTTAAGTAGTTCTAATTTTCTTGTTTTATGTATTTCAGTGAATGCATTTATTACTATGATTATTTATAGAAATACATAAAATTGCAGGTAATGCTGTGGGGTAATGGCAAGGGGTGATTTTGAATAGGTAACCACAAGTATTCATATGAAAATATCAATATGGCAGCCAGGGCAATTCTCTTCAACTCCTGTTGAAGCCAAAGAAAATTAAATCTAGTCTCATCATTTCTTTCCACAAATGCCAAGCAATTTGAAAACTGTGCTCTGTAAGAGCAATATTCTAAAAGCCAAGACTCTACAGTCCTTGAATCTCATTGCTGAATTCCCAATTTCTTCAGCAGTGTGGGGTTTGCTTCTTGATCTATAAATAGAAAACACTTTATGCTGTGTCTTTAATGAGTATGCAATGACATAGCGCTGTTCACTTAAATGATTGCAAGCCAGTTTCTATATTCTGAACAATAATACTTTGTCGGGCACATGTTTGTAGGATCCAGTTCTTAATTGCTCACTTGATATTTATTTAGTTCATTCACATAGCATCTGCAGGAGGAGAGGCATTGTAAACAGTAGAAAAACATGTTTGGAAAACCTCAAAATATGTCAAGATAACTCTGCAGTTACAGTATCTGAAATTTCTCCACACTTATTTTAATGGTGCTCTTAACTTCATAACATGGTGTAGTGTGCTGCTAGCTATCAAAATGGACCACCTGAGAGACGTAACTACTGATAATTGAAAAAATTTTATGTACCTGGTTATTAACATCATCTCCAGCTCTTACATAACTCCATTGTGCAATAATCTATTATTTACTGGAAAAAGAGGACCATGCTTAATGAGCATCTATTTTGCAGATTGAACTAGATAGTTTGCAACCTAGTCTGCAACTAAGCTGATAAGTTCCACATATTACACATTTTGAAAAAATCTATATCTTACTGTTCTAAAATTACTGATTTTGACTATCTTTGGAGTTCCTGTTTTTCTGTTAAAGGAAAAAAAAAAACATAAACAAATATTTAATTTAACTTCTCTGCAGAATATCCTCTGTGTGTACCTGGTTGTGTATTCACGTGCATGTGTTGCTTAGTTTGTGTCTTCCTCCCCGGCAGCTTTAAAACTTACTGCCCAATCCCAACCAAAGTTTACAGAAGAACAGAAGTCTCCAAGGTATTAACTCAGGAATTACATTACCTCACATTAACTACAATTTCCATGAGACAGGCAAGGGACTGTCAGTTAATGCTCACAGCAAGGGAGGAACTGAAGTATGAGGTTATCTCTTGGAGCCAGAAGATATTCCACATAGAAGCTCGTTCTCAAAACACAGTTTCATGACAACTCCCATCTTACTAGGAATGAAGTGATGCCTTATTTTAAAAGATCTGACTGCACCTCTCATATGCTACTCTTTTTCTGGACCCTCCCCCTTTTTTTTTGAAAATACGGATAAAAGAGTTCACACCTGTCCTTTTGGATGGTACAGATTTGTAATCTAGAAATAGTGATGTGGTTAATTCAGTTGCATTTATCATCATATTCTGGTTATGTTTTTGTTATTTTTTGATGCACTCTGTACTTCAAGAAATAGTTTTCAGCAAGCATGTTGTCTTAGACAGTCTACAGTCTTGTCACAGTATAAAACTGTGAAAGGAATACAAACAATTCAGATGGTTTCATAGAAAATTTTGCTCTTTTGCACAGGACTGCCCTGATTTTCATTTTCCTCTGAAGATGCATTGAGTATGTTGTGGTTAATATACCACAGGTCCTGAAATGTTTCCTTTTATCCCTGTCTCCATTCCCAGTGGGTTCCTCCCATACTAAGATGTTTCTGTAGGATCTGTGCCTTCCTTTGTGCTATCTGTAAACTGTGGGTGAATTTGCATTTCCAATAGCAAACATGGAAACTTTTGTGTCCCTGTGCTCTCCCATGAGGAGAAGAGGGGCTTTTATATGGGCTCTCCTGAGTATAGTGGCCTCAGTAGCTGAGCAGGAGAGCAGGCTGGTTTTACCACATTTGTTACCTCTTGGTATGTTTTTTACATACCAGTTGACCAGTTTTGAACTCTTACCTCAATTCTCTTCACCTTGGACCTGGAAACACTGGTCAGTACTTCTATATGGTGTGATTCCAGTAAATAAATCATAGAAGAATTTAACTCTGTAAGTAGGATTATTTCTAGCATCTCTCCAAAGATTTCCACAAGACTACAGCATCTTTTATTTTTCCTTTTGAGCCTTTCTATTTAACATCACTATCTAATAAATGTGGTGGGGAGGGGGTAGGTATGTGCAGAAAGATGTGTGTACACCAGCCTCCCATTGCTGACTTGGTTGCAGTCTTCCATAACTGGCTGAAAAATGTACTTGGAAATTTGTATAGAAGTATGGGAAACTGCTTTTTTTGGTACATATATTTTTAACTCGTAGAAGATGTTTGTAAAAACAGATGGTAATGCTTGTTTCAAGTTAATTTTCTGTGTTGTTTTTTTTTTTCTTTTTTTTTTAAATTTAGTTGCTGTATCGAGAATGGGCAAGATACGGAGTATTTTACAAGTTTCAGCCTATCAACCTTATAAGGTAATATGGACTTGTATAAAACACTAAGGTACCTGGATTTTAGCTGATGCAGATTACTTAACTTCCTTCCAGTTTCTTCCACAAATGAAATCTTGGATTGATCAAAGCATTAAAAATAATGCTCTGACTGCTTTTCTGTAGTTCTGATGATAGTTTAACAAAAATACACTAAATAATAATGTACCTTTGTTTTTGTATAGTGTTTATTCCTGGAAGAATGTAATCTTTCGTTTTTTTTTAAAGAAAGCATTAATTCTTTCAAAAAAGAGGACTTTCCATTTACATTGATGAATTTTTATTGGAGAGTATGGTCACAAAGTCTGGTGAATAATCAGAAGCTGGTGTTCACATCACGAAGCACTGTGAAAGTATTTGACAGTTTCAAAATGGATTTGATTTTTTTACTCCTGGTTTTACAAGTGTTATTCATCTGAACACATCCATATGTGTTCCCAGTGTTTTTTATATATTTTGATGTTACAAATGTAGAAGAAGTTGGGCTTAAAATAAGACAAAACAGAACTACCATGCTTTTAAAGGAATTTCCACAATATCTCTACAAGAAAGCTGAACCAAAACAAAGCCATTTTTGTTGTATACTATAAATACTGAGTAAAGTAAAGGAAATGTTTGTGAAAACTTCTGACCTGAAATATTCTTACATAAGATATCTGTCTGGGAATAAATGAACTAAGATATTAACAAACAAGATAGGAAAAAAAAACCACAAAAAGTATCTGGATAATTTGTATACTTAAGAAAGATGAAATTAATTAGTGTTTATGTTTCAAATAATCAAACTCCAACTAGGTTTTATTATATGATCAGCCCCTACTTGATTACCGATGAAAGCTGCTATTAGTAATATGGATAATCAGTAATCTTTGTAAAATATATTTATTGTAGTTTGAGTTAAAGTTGAAATACTGCATACAGTTTTTCAAAGACTTAACCACTAACTTGCAAAGTGAGCAGAATTGCTCTTTATTGGGAGTGAGATGTTTCAAATTGACAAATGGTATTGAGACCATTACATCTTTCTGAGGTTCTGCAACTCTGAAATTTCCTCTTTTTTACCTTAATGTTTGTATGCAGGATTTATGTACTTTTTGAATACTAGTTATTCCAGGCCAGGCTACTGTATGCAATAAGTAAATCAGAACAAGATTACAACACTTGGCTTGTTGTTAGTAAATATTACAAATGTTAAGTTAAACTGTGACTGGCTGGAGGAATTTTCAAGTTTTACCAGACCTGACAGCTCAGCTGAATTAAAAATAGAGGTACATCTGTTTACACTCCATCTTCATTTGTATTTTGCTGTCTCCATTATAATGTTTCATTAAACTGATATGATTTCATAGAAATTCTGTGGTTTAAACTTCTGTGAGAAAGAAAAAATGGACTAGACATGTGCAATTAATTCTCTGTTCTCAGAGATGATTTTTCTTACTTTTATCTATATAGTTTGCCTGACTGCAAGTTTGATTGTTACCACTAAAATAAATGTGGTTTTTATTTTCTGGGTAATGTTAGAGCTTTAGAGTATATATACCTGAAGAATTAGTACCCTTTTCTCTCTGCAACTAAACTAGGTTTTTGCACCTCTGTAATGTGGGGGATATTTGAGCTCAGTCTCAATGTGGATGCTTATTGCCTTGGCAAACTTTAGCCACTCTTTTTGGATTTTGATAATTTACCGTGATCCTTCTTTCTTAGAATGATTAGGTTATGCTCAACTTTTTCTGGTTATGGGAGCACTGTGTAACTTCACAAGTATATACTTTGATGCTTTGATGCTTTGATGGACAGAGGAAGCAGTATTTATTTTGCTTTATATTCAAAGCCTGTTCTGATTGATGTTTTCAAATACATTAAGTCTGTTGAAGTATGTTTCTTAGATAATATTCACCTCCCCAGATTAATTAGACTATTTAGTTTAATTTTTAATACAACTTGCAACAGTGCAAATATTTTAACTTTCACCTTTATACAGTAAGAATGCAAATTGAATGTCATTCTTTAACTGAAGTACCTGTGCTGGAAGACTAGATATGGCACTGTAGAATTATGATAAATCATTTCTGGTGCCTTAGTTGAATTCAAAGAATTCAGTATGAATTCAATTTTTGCCTTTCACATATATCTCTTTTCAACTCAGATGGAGGGATGATAAACATTTTTTTAAGAGGGAAGTTGCAAATTATTTGCAAACAGACATCTTAGGCTAGAAGTACTGAAAATGGTTTAGCTTTTCTTTCAGTCACCCTTAGACCTGGAAGGCGTAAGTGATATATTAACAAGTAGAGAATGAAAGTTGCAGTTCTAGGATGTGCAGGGCTCTAGAGGTTTGCCTGTTATATTTTACTTCTTTTCTCATCCTAATTTAAGTATTGATTTCTATTAGAGAGTTTCTCTAATGTAGCTTTCTTGTAGGAACACACTTATCACCAGTAGTTCCTCTCAATCCTTGTAATGTAATTTAAAAGGTGCTATAAAAACATATCTGTGGTTCATGGATTTTTTTTCTATGTTGATGATGCTCTTTTCTCAAGTGAAGATTTGTTTAAACCCAGTTTTTAGCAATTTTTTCAGATACTGAATTTGTTAATTTCCTAAGGGGCAATAATACTGTTGATCCAGAGACAGGGAGGACACTCTGTACAAGTTTTGTGAACCTGCATAAAGAAAACAGGTTTTATGATTTTTTTAATAAATGTTATAGTATGTTGATCAAAGTTTTAACTATTTGACTCTAGAATGAATAGTTTGTGAACAAGGACCTCTGGAGGTCCCTAGACCTACTCTCTGCTCAAAGCAGCTCTGGCTTTAAAGCCAGATCAAGTTGCTCACGAGTTTTGAAATCTCCAAGGATAGAGATCACACAGTGTCTCTGGGTACCCTTTCTAGTGCTGCACCGCATCCAGAGGAAAGAATTTTTTCCTGCTGTCCAGACCAAATTTTTCTTGGTGCAGCTTACAGCCATCGTCTCTTGTCTTTTAGCAGTGCACCTCTAATGGGTAATAGCAAGTCAAGAAAACATACAGCAAATATAAGAATTGTTATAGAATTTATAATGAATTATATTTCTGATTGAATGCAGCCCTTATCACTTAGGAGCTCTAAATGACAGACGAAGTGAGTATGCTAAGATTAGTGATATCACAAAGAGGTGGTTATCCTTCTGAGACAAAAGCTTACTTAACTCCTGAAAAACTGGAAAGTTATCTTCTTAATGGACACCTTGAAGCACCTGCAGATGGGAACTTGTGTATGAACTGAAATTCCAGATAGGGGACCACCATCACAGAGGGGAGGTCCCCCTTTGTTATCTTGTTATTAATACAAAATTTCCTTACCCTGAGGAAATCAAGCTGAGCTAGCTGGTTTAAATTGTGGTGGAGCTTATTTTAATATTAGTGCTTCTAAAAGGTCCCAGCTCATCAGGTCCTTCTAACCAGTCTCAGTTTTCATGTTTTCATTTCTATTTCCTATTACTAGGACTTCACCGAACTTCTTAGTAACTAACAGGCTACATTATCTGTAGCATGACTGGTCTCAAAGCTCCAGGTGCCTTTATATGCTTATCTTGCAGTATAGCCTTAAACTGGGAAGACATGGTCATTGTGAAGATTAAGACTATGTATACAAAAACTCTTTTTGCAGGAGTAGGTGGAAAAGTGTGTTAACCAAAATATTATTTACAGTATATAGCACACAAATCAAAACTTGAAAGTTTCTGTTACTCAAACTGTCTACCTAATATATTTCTTCCTTCCTATTTTTAACTATGTTTTTCTTTTGCATGGAAAATAGTTTCAACTTCATATGTAATGAATTCTGGCTCTTCGTTGCAGTGTGCCCGTGTTGAACCTGCTCTTGACCACAGTCACCAGTTCCCACATTTGAACGCTGTCTTCCTAAAGCATAGCAGCCTGTAGCTTTCTCTTCCTGGCAGTTTTTAAAGTGATAACAGACCTATGATGTTCTGAATTTTTATAGTCTCGGCTCTGGATACTGTTGTCTTCACTTTCAGTGTCTTGGGGTCTATGCACTGCAGTGTTCAATGTAAGCGATCAGGCCCCAAAAGCATTATTACTGGTTTGCCTTTTTTCCCTTTTTCTTCTTTCATCAATCTTCACCACAAAACCCCAAAACTTAGGATAGGGTAGTTTTAAAGGAGCAATAAAATAAGAAAAGGGGAGTTCTACTGAAATGGTGTTTTTATTGTCTTTAGAGATAAGTGTTTCTTCCTTGGCAAAAGTGTGGTTAAGATCAATTTCTGGTACAGCCATCCCTTA